GAAAGATTTGATTAAGGATTTTCCACCAAAACACCGGCAGAAGACAGGAAGGACAGAAAGGAAAGAATCCTCGAGGGCACGAAGAACTTCTTCCAGTCCGCACTCTAGAACTTCTTCATTCAGTTTGCAGGAATCAACGTTAAGTAGGCAGCGAAAACAGGAGTCATCGAGGTCATCAAGAACTTCTCGTTCACAAGTTTATCCATCAGCGCCAGAAATTTCCCAGTCAACAAAGAGGACCCAGATGGAACCAACTGAACCTGTGATCAAACAAGTGAATAAGAGAGACGAAATCAAGGAGAAAAGACAGGATATTCACGGGCCAGATTATGTTTATTCTAATCTTGCAGAGGGTGTGGATTTAACTTCCAACCAAGTTTCTATTGCTGACAAGCTTATTCAGCCATGTTCCTGTGGAAATAGAGCTCTAATTGCTTCTAAAACGGTTCCTGTCAAAAGTCAACTACCTTTACAAGTAAAGGAAATCTTTTCAGAAAAATTATGCATTGATAAAAATAGATCTGGTACAGAGGCTCAGGAGGAGGAGGAGGTTGGGCTTGTTTCGGGAAAATCTGCTAACATTTTTGGAAACCACAAACCGATTCATGATGCTGATAAGTCTAGTTGCGTAAAGGAGATGAACTGGATGAATGTTTTAAAATCTGAAATGATATACTGTCATTCATTCAACACTTACTTGGAAGGGCTGAAATCATTGAACAAGTTTGACAGTTTCAGATGTGAGGGTATTACTTCTATGATGGATAATGAAAATGGTGTTGGCAGACTTGAGTTGGTATTCTCAGGCACTAAATGTTGTTCGGTTTTGGTGTTTCATCACACTGGTAAAGAGGTTCAAAGCATGAACAGAAATTCTACCAAGGGTGTAGGTAATACACTTCAGGAAGACAAGGCAATACTTGTGGCTATTGAAGGTTTAGTAGCTAGTGAAGAAAATGAAAAGGTGAAATTAGAACAGGGTTGGAAAATGGCCAGGTCGTTTAATGGTAATGGAACTGTCTTCCTGCAAGGAAACCAATTTAGGAAGTTTTACATGGAAGATATGCTTTCTTGTTCCTTAATTAAGGGAACTGCAGCCGGAAGCTACATAGAGGAGTTTGCATCCAGTACAATTTTAGTCTCAGGACATAGAAATCATGAAGAAGTGCAGAAAAGTGAAGAAATAATTCTTGATGTGGAGTGCGGGAAGGGGACTGAACCAAATGAAGATTCACTGACTGCTGCTAGATATTGGGAAGGAAGAGGAACAAGGAAGAGGAAGAGGAAGCAGAAGATTGTGGCTGTTTCCTATCACCCACCTTGAGGGCAAGGTGGTTGTTTAGGGGGGGAGATTTGTTAGGAACCGGCCCAATTGTTAGGGGCCCGGCCCAATAGAGTATAATAATAATAAAATGTATAAGTTTAGTATAAATAGAAAGAAGCTGGGGGATAGTGAGGGGGGCTGTTTAAGACTTTGTCATTCGGGACTTGGGAGATCGAGAGTTACTCTCTTTCTTGGGGGGCTTCGGCTCATATTGGGGGCTTAGGCCTGTGTACCGATTACTGTTCTTCTTCATCATCAATACAGTTTTCCAGTTTGTTTCTTGATAATTCTGTATATTTCCTGGAGGTTTCTATCAAACTGCAACCACGTTTGGCTACTAAGTAATAGCTTCAGACAAAACAACCACACAGGGTTGATTTTTTTATCTTCTTATTATCCTTTTTAAGCACAGTGCTGGTTGTTTGAGATTAGACAGAACTAATTAAACCGCAACTTGTGCCAAGATAAATATAGTATTGTGTGCGTTGCCAAGTTGTGTAAGTATATGTGACAAATCAGAAAAATCCCCAGTCTCCTCACTTTCTTGTAGTTTCTACAACTGAGAGCTTAACTCCTTATTTATAGAATCATAGGTACATGCTCAACTGCTCAAACCTCACTGGTGGGGCAGTGAGAGAAAGTAAAGGCTAAAAACTTCTGTACTTTACCTATTGAAGCTCTAGTGTGTAATCAACTGTGAGTCATCACTAAAGCTCTCCTGTGTGATAATAAAAGAAATTGGCAAGCTGAAAAGTTACAACACCTGCGAACAACTTAGTACTCTGGCTTTAGTAAAAAATGCACATCAATTGTCAAACTATAAGTTATACTTCTTCCATAATCACTATATGAATCCCCAAGTTACCATAAATCACAAACTCTTTCTAGACCTTACCTAAACATGCTAAAAGTCTAAAACTACTAGCTCTAATTTCATGGTAGTCCTATCCTACCCCACAAGGGTAGCCAAGTTGGTTGAACAATTAACATGGCAGCTGCAAGGTCCCGTCTTTAAATCTTACCAAGTACTGCCTATTGACCTACTTGTTACAACCGGTAAAATATAATTCATCCAGTACAATTTACATGCTTCACCCAGTGTGCACCACAAGACAGCAACTGCAGGTTCTCATGTCACTGAAAATGATAATCCTATCCTAGACGCATTTTGAGCATTAAAATGAAGAAGCATTTTCCATTAACAATCAATTACATAATTTCCAAAAGTTGAAGATATGGTATCAATGCAAATGCCTCATTACCAAAATAACTGTAACTACCTCCAATTCAATCAAACTAAAATATATACAGCACAGTCACCTTAGCTTTCGCCTGTAGCTTGTCCACGAAAACTAAATACTGTTTCAGGGTGTAATCTTTGGAGTTACCAATGGCAGCATCCATTGCCTAAACCGGAAAATCGATCAAGTGCATATTAATAAGTAACAAAAAAATAATTTTAGAACTTATAAAGCAGCAGAGCACATGTGTAGTGGAAATAATTCAAGGCACGCAGTAGGAGAATTACTTCATCAGACATGAACGGTGCAACATCAGGGGCGTAAGCAGCCAGAACAGCTGAAGCAGTGGCCGGACCAACACCTTTCAAAACCGTAAGCTCCGAAACGGCTTTGGAGACGTCCGGGAGAGAGTGAAATGCTGCCTGTGAAGCCGATTTTACTACCTCATCATCTAATGACGACACGAAATCCAAAAGCCTCGGCCTGCAAAATTGAAATCGTATTTGACGATTAGTATCCAACACTAGAGGAGAGAACAAGAGGAACATACGAAACGTGTTTTGTGCCTCCATTTGCCTCGCGTGAGCTTCCATTGCATGAGCTTGGTGAGTTCCGACGTGATGATGTACGGAGTGTGGTCCCGTTGACGGATCAGAACGGGGAGTTCGTTCCGGTAGAAGCTGTCTAGAGAGATGAGATTAGGCTTATCCAAGGCTTCGATACGGGAATCGTATGACAACAAGGCCTCTTTCCATAGGCTCAAATCGGAGCAGTTAAATTCCATTTTTGGTTACTCCAGTGAGCATGCGTGCTGCAGTTCTTTCTGGCAGAGTCGCGGTTGGATGGCGATTTTCTATTTCCCTGAACAAGAATGATTTTTTATGGAAGATACTCCATAAATTCCAGGAAGTATTTACAAAAAAAAATGCTTTTCAAAGTGATTCAGATGAGTAGTGAATTTTTTCAAAGTGATGATTCTATTCAAGAGTTATTCAAATTACAAAAAACTACCCTATTTTATACCTCATTTTGTACTACCCCAGTCTTTATAGTTCCCAGAAACATTTCATTAAAATGGAGCAATTAATTTATGGAAGTGAGCTTTTGTGAGCCACACATCGGGTGGGTACAAAATTGGGTACAAAAAATGTAGTACCTCTAACAAAGTTGTTCAAATTAAACATTTAAAACTTAAACGATAGAAGAAGATAAATTTATGTCTTAAATATTCATTTTTTCTATTACACAAAAACATATATTTTTAAATACAACAACTTTTACTTTTTCAATTACACACTTTTTAAAAATACTACATACTTTTTCATAAGATGCTTTTTCTAAAATCAATTTAATGTAAAAGCAACCACATAGCATTGGCAAGTGTTTACAAAAACCGGAAAATAAAATCCAAACTTTCGGCATAAAAAGTTCAAAACAAATTTAAAAAATAAACATTGATAACATATTAACATGTGAGGAGTTTTAAACTTTTTTCCACGTGTTCTATTACACAAAATATATTCTTTTACTAAAAACCCTTGACATGTATTGTTTTGAAAGCATCTTTCTTAAACAAAATTAATTTTATTACATACTACATAGTTCTTCATGCATCTCATTTTGTGTTTTAGTTTGGTACAATTATTAATAAAATAGTTGAAAAAATAAAAATTATGATTGCGATTTGAGTATAAGAAACTGAAATGATGTAGACACATACTCCATTCTCATTAAGATTATTTTTCCTTTTTATCCGTTTCGATAAGATTGTCTTATCCAAAATTTGGTAATTTTTGTAGATTTGTGTGACTCTAAATTGTTCTTCATTTATTATTATTTAATCAATTCAATATCGAACACATAAATCCACTTTTTTAATAACCGCATCACCTCTTCAATTCCTGATACGACACTTATTTAAGATAACCCAAAAAAGAAGTGGGACAGTTCAATGAGATAAAAGAGGTATTCAACCCTTTGGAATCACTTTTAAAATGTTCAAAATAGAGGGAATAGCAAAACCAGTGATAAATGGATGATATCTTTTGAATCGCTTTCAATCCTAAATCAGACCAAACAGAACTTAAGCAAATCAGACCAGAATTACACAATTATAATAAAATACACAAAGATCGCCCATTTATTAAAGCAGACCAATTTAGATCAAACCAAACCAAACAAAACTTAAACAACAACCTTGCTATAGGTATCTCAATTGGTACCCCAATTTGTACCCCAACCTATTATTGTGGCCCACAAAAGCCCACATCAATAAATGAATTGCCCCACTTTAATGATGTGCTTTTGTGAGCCACAAAAATAGGGTGGGGACACAAATTGGGGGTACCAATTGGGGTACCTTTAACATTTTTCCTTAAACAAATTAAAGAGACGGTTGTACTGCATCAAAATTGTTCCAATGATGAATTGATGACACAATTAGGTGTGCACAGTAAGATATGGTGCACCGAGAAACACCTAATTAAAATAGCACTCTCTTATAATGAGGCGATCGCTCGTTCCCACCACACGATTTCCAGAAGAGCACACTGATAAGTGATAACTGCGAGCTTCGTTTCGGCTCTGCCCTTCCATTCCATTCGTCAGCCAATTGACCGTTCATCCAATTATATTCAGGTATTTCAATTTCTACTCGGTTTCTCCATCTCCAGTCTTCGCTGGTTCAACTTCTCAACCCTTATTAATCAATCTCCAACAAAAACAATCAATGTTTCAATTATCCAGACATGAAAGCAGATTTAAGATATACTATCGTATGTATCACCTATGGCTTGTTTAGATCTATTGTTACCTATTCCAAATCTGAAACACCGCTCTACTGATCTCCCATTAGCCCTATATTTTCAGAGATGTCACACACCAGATCCTATTTTCACGTTTCTGATAAGTATTTGCTTTGCTGTTTATGGTATGTATTTTTTTCTGCCAAATTTGCGGTCTTGAATCTGTGTTTGTCAGGCTATGAATATTAGGAGCTTCTATTACATCAAATATCTGTGTTTATCTCAAGTTTACAATCAATTTATAGTGTTAATCAATTTATACAATTGATGGCAGTATACCCTTAATGCCACCAGCTGATAATGGTCATGATAATGATGTGCCCGCAATACAGACAGTAAGAAATAGGGTTTTAAGTCATTGCTTAGGAAAAAGAGAATTTTAAGCAGGGATGCTGCATTGTTGTTGTGAATTTGTGATAAAGGCTGGGTTTTTTAGTTGTATATGAGATTCCAATGAGTTCCACAAAAGGCCAAAGCACTGGGTGGTTGTTAAACATGGGATGATCAGGATTATATCACCCATGACCTGCCAAATGAGGAAGTTGTTTTCCTGAATCAGTGTTACTGTTTATGTTCCTTTTATTGCTAGGTAACTCTAGTTTATACCATACATTAAACTACTTGTCCTTGGGATATCATTCTCCTTGAGCAAAGATTTTCAACGCCAATTTTTATTTACAGCAAGCGAATGAAGACTCGGTGTAAGAATGTTTCCTGATTCCCCATGCCGTATCCCAAATAAAATTAAAAATATGGCACTTATATGCAAAATGTGATCTTTTTTCACACGAGCAGAACATAGTAATTGTCTAATGGGAAAATGGAAACTAATAATCCAACTTTTTAGCGGTCTTCTTACAATAGTCCCACCTTTGTCTAATTGATATTCAGAAACTTCATGTATTATCTGTTTTTCCTAATTATCACTCAGTATATTGAATCTCACTCCAGTGAATGAACTATTGGCATTGACAAATTTTAGGTGACCATGTCGACTGCAACACTTCCATCCACCTGCATGTTCAGAGTGACACCTTCCACCCAACCAAAGATTGCATTTATCAAGAATCCATCATCCCCAGTTTCTGTGAAGAGGAGCGTGTCCATATCATTTGACGGATTGAGAGCTGACCGTTTCAGAGCAAATGCTACTGCATACAAGGTTAAACTGCTTTGTCCTGAAGGCGTAGAGCATGAGTTTCAGGCATCTTCTGATACATACATCCTGGATGCAGCTGAGGAAGCAGGAATTGATCTGCCTTATTCATGCAGGGCCGGTGCATGCTCCAGCTGTGCTGGAAAGATCACTAAAGGCTCGGTTGATCAATCAGATGGATCTTTCCTCGATGACGACCAAATTAAAGGGGGATATGTATTGACTTGCATTGCTTACCCAACTTCAGATTGTGTCATTGAGACCCACAAAGAGAGTGATCTTTACTAGGCATTTTTAATTAGGTTATCATTCCCTTGTTATGCTAAGCACGAGAACTATTGGGGGTTAGCCTTCAAATGTGTGCTATTCATTCAACTTGGTTGTTTGTGTTGATTTAAACGAATCAAATATGTCATGTGTTTCATGAGCTATCTTGGTTTCCTAGAAATTTATTTCTCAAATAAATAACCCGAACTTGTGCCTATGAGCCTACTCATAGAGTTTGTGAATTCTAATGATTTGAAGAACTTGGACCCCATGATTAATTCTTTTTTTTTTGAAAGATCTCGAATGTGTTTGTTTATCGACTCAGTTGGTAGGCTTGACTCACACCAAGTCACCAACTGGTTCATTAGTAATTTACAGTTTTAAACACACATATGGAGATAACTCATTCAGAGCACTTGATGAGATTTGGTAGGACTGTTTTAATTTTTGGCAAAAAATGTTCTAAATGTCTAGATCTATCGTTCATTAGTATCAAGCTCAATTGTTTGATCATGCCTACATGGCTACATTGTGAGCAAACTTCATTTCCAAAGATAAAATATTTTAGGGAAACTTTATACATGACGAAAATATTAATTGATTTCTAGTACTTCGTATATGATTATGAAATCTAAACATGCTTCTATATAAGTACTCGTAATAATTAAATTGAATGGAGAAAAAGTAAAATGAAAATTATGTATCATATTAGGAATAAAAAAACTGTTTAATCAGCCAAATCACATTGATTTGTATGAAGTATTAATGATTCAGATTTTTTTTATTCATATTTTTTTATTGATTGGTATGAAGTATTAAATTCAATAATCTTCAATTTATTGAAAATGGAAGTTAAAACTTCACTTCTTCCTTTGGCTGAAATTTATTATTGTATTTAGGGAAATTTGTTAAAAGAGTCCTGTAATTTTGCCCTATAGCCGATATTGATCCTATAACTTTACATACTTGCAAAATACATCCTTCAACTAATTTATTTGTTCAATTTGAGGACATTGCCGTCGGAAAGTTAAATTTTGGCCGGAAAGTTACATGTCAATCTCCCGTTGTTGTAATCTTTTCCTAACGTTTGCAGCTGACTTGGATGTGAGCCCCTTTTATGACTTATTCCCAAACACTTCATTGTGCTCCGATCTCCCAAACCCCCCATTAGAACAATAAAAGCACAAAACCTAAGAGAAGAACGGAGGCTTCGTAATTCTTGGTCCGGCTTCTCCACATATGGAAGAAAGGTGAGTGTGTTCCTTTAAAGTGCAAATAATGGCTCAGGCAAGGATCTATGGAATATCATTGTGGTAAGAAGGCCGGTGTTTTAACTTCATAGACTTATATATGACGATGGAAGGAGGTTCCATGTGTGCTCCAAAAACTTTAAACTTTTTAATTTTGTAGGTTTCGAATTTTGCTTGAAAAAATTAAATATTTTATATGTAGTACTGTATTACTTTGATATAAGAGAGAAAAAATCTAATGTTAAAGGTTCTAACAAGACATTGGAATAAGAATAATAGTTGATTAGCAAAACTAATGAATTGTCTTTTACCTGGACCGTTTCTATGGTTACAAATGGAGGCTTTTAAAATTGATAAGTGTCAAGAATTTTTTTAAAAAATAGCCTGAAGTGCAATTTTTTCTTTATGTTCATTTTTACAATTTCGTATTTGGAATTTATAAGAAATAAATTGAAGATGTATAATCTACTACTCCGTATTCAGTTTAATCTAGCTATTTCTTTTTTAATGTTTTATGAATCAGAGAGTGTTTTCCTTATGTGCAGGATGTTTTAAAATAAGAAGTGTTTGGGAGGGAACCAAAAACAAGGTCTCAAGTCCAGGTCAGCTAGGGCTGCTAGGCCATATGAAAAAAAAATGAACAAGTGGCGCTGATGGGTTAATTTCCGGCGGAATTATTACTTTCCGACATAAATGTCCTGAAATTGGACAAATATGTTAATTAGAGGACGTATTATGCAAGTAAATGAAGTTAGAGGACCAATATCGGTCACCACCAAAAGTTACGGGACTAATTTTACAAATTTCCCTTTCCCAATATCTCTATCTCATGAAGTTTGGTCTAATAAGTTGTTGTGCGTCTTGTTTTTATGTGGTGTTAAAATTATAGGTTTGCTTTATTTTGAGTTTATTACTCCCTCCGTCCCATTTATATTGTCATGTTTTACCTTTTCGGGAAGTCCCACTTAAATTGTCTCATACCATATTTGGCAAAGTGTGTGTCTCTAAATCATTCTTACTTTATTCTTACTTTATCAATTAATATCAACCACACAAACTCATTTTTCTTAATAATCGTGTCACCCTCTTCCGGGACAATATAAATGGGACGGAGGTAGTATGTTTTTTTATAACTCACTAGTAATTCTATTTTCTTCCTATTTAAAATTTTAAATTCTAAATACTTTTAAGTATTTTAAATACTTTGTCGCGTTTCTAAACACTTGTGGGGTATTTTGTGGCCTAATACAGGTTGAAAAAATGGCATGAATATAACTATTGGACTTTTAAAAGACATAAGTATGACCAAAAATAGATTGGACAATAAAGTAACCACACGTTTCATTTTCTCCAAAGCATCGCGATGTCCCCTGGCCTGCGTCTCTTCTCATGCGTAAGGATGGGAATGGGGGCGGGGACCCGTGGGAAACCGCCCCGTGGGGGAAGGATGGGGCGGGGCTTGGGACAGGGGCAGGGATGGGTGCAATATTTTTACCCCGTTAAAATATGGAGCGGGGGACGGGAATTGTTGTCCCCGCCCCGTCCCTTTTATAAATATGTATTCTAACACACACACACACACACATATAGAATAGAGATCAAATACAAAGCATGCTTAATTTACAAAGTACAAACTTATCTTGGCCATCCGATGAGTTGATCTAAAGGATATAAAGGCAAGGTGGCATTTTTGTAATAAAAATGAAATTACTAAGTTCTTACTAAGTTTACTATTTTCATGTAAAGAAAATAGATCACATACTTCAATTGGACTTGAGGAAATTTGAATCCAAACATCCAACGACCCACAGTCTCTCAAAATCTGGGGGGAATCCCAGATCGCCATATGCACCGGAAGATAGATTATTACTTATGAATACCCTACATCTGCTTTTATTGGGAGATGGTGACCTACAACCGGAAAACAAGTCATGCAGACATGCACCACCTTTTACATGAAATTGATTTAATTGAGCCTAGCTAATCATTACTAAGTTCTTACCGCTCTCGCGGCGTAGAGTACAATAATTTAGGGGACCAAGCTGATCTCTCATCAGACAGGATCCTAAATTATTGCCAAGACGAGCGAGCTTACGGCCCATTAATCGCTACTAATTTCTTAGCGAACGATTAAGTGTGTGTGAATGCGCTTGACAGAAGGTCATCCTGATCGTCGTTTTCAAGCTTCATTCATCTTCTTTTGATCCCGATCCGAAGCCAATCCTAGAGCTCTTTTGTCATCAAATCTTCATCGTAAACCTCCCGGTGACCTCCATATCTCTTGTTGAGGTTTATTCCCGAAGATCCGAAAGCCCAACACAAGCTTTGGATATTGTAGGGATATTTGGTTGGTTTAGAAAGTGTATAAAATGTAAAACAGTGAGATATTATCCACCTCAGGAGCTTACTTGTATTTAGTAATTATGCAATTACACTGAGAATACCCGAACGGTAGTTGGGTATGAGAATGCAAGAATAAAGGATGTAAATCTATTGCTAAGCTCTGAGTATTGAAATGCTAACCCCTTTACAACGATCTAAACATGGGTATTTATACTAAAATGGGGATGGGTAAGGTGGACACGTGGCCGAATCTGGTAGGCTGTCACCTCTGCCATGTAAGCACTCATGCCCCCACTTGCAGCCGCCATGATCCAGCATTAAATGCGGCTTCCACATGCTGACTGCCCGTTCGGGTATGGTGTTCGGTGAGTGGGACCCTGTCATAGATGTTATCTTGTTTAGGAAGAGTATCCCAAACCCCGTTCGGGAACCAGCTATTTGGTGCTTTGGCGTGATTGTTTCCTGAGATGCTCCAAGTAGAAGATTCGCCCCGAATGCTGATCGGGAACTCTGGGCTGTTTTGGGCCTGCTACTTCTTTCCGGATTTGGGTTAAAGGATATTGGGCCTGGATCCAATATCCCAACACCTCTCAAATCAATCTCAAATGCTTCTCAACTCATCCCGATTTCTTATCAAGCGCCAATACCGAACTCTAAAATCCTGATTTTGACTCCAAATGACACAAAACTCGAACCAACGCCTGTTAAACATAACTTGAGCTAAAATTGAGACTTATAACACCTTAAAGCTAGGAAAACCATCAAAAGCCGATCTCAACACGCATCAAATGTGACGTGCACTTTGTCGTGTATGCACTCAAAATAATAATCAACACAACACTAATACGTAGTATAGTGTAGTAAGGTTCGTATCCACAGGGATAGAAATACTTCTCTTTTTATAAAACTGAAAATAAGTAACAAGGGGGGGGGGGGTAGGGTTGATTGATGAACTTAGATTATATTTAAACATGAAGATGAACGACTTATGTGGTTTAATTAATGAGAAGAAGATTTGGCTTTGCTTTTATCCACTTAATGAAATGTTCGTCGATCCCGGTTATATCTTTAACCATCTTCCTTTCGAATACTCAATCGAAGAGTATATCCAATTCATCGAGGGTAGTTATTAATAACGAGACGCGTTCATTAATAAAATTTACTACCGAGTTAATATAGAACACGCGCCGTATACTCACTCGATAGTAGCAATAAATTAGAGATGAAAACGATTGAGATTGATAACCTCAACACAAGCGGTTTATTGGTTTAATCAATATAATTAATTCCCCTTTGGTTATTAACCATGAGATGCATGCATTAACAACCCAAGTTTACTACCGTGAAAGAGCCGAATTAATAACAAGCGTATTAATCGACCGATTCTAGTATTAATTAATATATGAAACAAAACTAGTTGATCCTTTAAGTAATGCTCAAAATATTAATATGAAATAGGAATAGGAATTAATTAATATTCAAGGAAGAAGATTAAAGAAGATAACTTACAACTTACAATTCATTAAGTTTCAAAGTAGCAAATCTAAGATGGAAGAGTTTAGCTCCTCATTTGGAGACTAAACATGAAGAAAATATAAAGAAATAACTTGTCTAAACTGAGCTTAGAAGTATATAGGAATTGGTGAATTAATGAGGAGGAAATAGGGTGTATTTATAGGCTTTTTAGGCTTGCAGGGTCGTGTA